CTCACCAAGTTGCCCAAGCTGGTCTCGAACCCCTGGGCTCAGGCAATCCTCTCACCTCAGTCTCCCAAAGTGCTGGGATTACAGGCTGAGCCACTGAGCCCGGCTATTTATCTTTTAAAATTCACATCAGACTGGGCGTGGTGACTCCGGCCTACAATCCCAGCACTTGGGGAGGCCAATGTGGAAGGACTGCTTGAGCCCAGGAGTTTGAGACTAGCCTGGGCAACACAGCGAGACCTTATCTCTAAAGAAAATTTAAAAATTTTCCAGGCTCGGTGGTGCATGTCAGTAGTCCCAGCCGCTGGGAGGCTGAGGAGGAAGGACTGCCTGAGCCCAGGAGGTCGAGGCTGCGATGAACTGTGACTGTGTCAATGCACTCCAGACTGGGCAACAGAGTGAGATCCCCAACTCAAGCAAACAAAAAAAACTTTCTAATAAGTAAATCACATATCCATTTTAAAATTTAAATCACAATTTTCAAATTTTAATGTTAATTTTAAAAAACTTCGCATCAGAGGCTCCCAAGTCTGGGGAGTGATGCGTCTGTCCACCCGCCTCTCTGAGCGCCAAGGTCTGAGGACCAGGCCAAGGGATGGGCTGTACCTGCTTGATGGTGCTGAGGTTGGCGTTGCGGGACACGGGGAAGTTGAGGTAGACCCCTGTGGGCAGCAGGAAGTCAACCGCCACGCTCTGGTTCTCCTCCTTGGTCCAGAATTCCATGGGGCAGTCAACCCCAGGGGGCATCCTGCCTGTCACTTCTCAGGCGTCAGCTGTCCTGAAAGCAAAGCAAAGCAGGCAGGTGAGCTCTCTTGGCCGAGCTGGGCGAGTCCCTTGGAAGGGCCCCCTGACAACAGTCTGTCAGGATGGTGGACAGCAGAAGGCTCCTCCCACTCTGGCCACCTTCTCGGCGGAGCTGTCTGTCAGCCCAGGTGGACTCTGCCTGCCTCTCTCGGAGCAGAGCCCAGGAGACCCAGGCTGGACACCAATGAAATGCCAACCAATCCAGGCCAAATCATTTTCCTGAGGACACACACAACCACAAGACCCTGGCCAGATGGCACAGACAGGAGACAGCAGGATCACTGGTCAGACACCCTGGGACTTGGCACAGACCAAAGCTGCAGTTCTTTGAAGACTTCTTTTTTTTGTTTTTGAGATGGGATCTTGCTTTGTTGCCCAGGCTGGAGTGCAGTGGCACGATCATAGTTCACTGCAGCCTCAAACTCCTGAGTTCAAGTAATCCTCCACTTCAGCCTCCTGAGTAGCTGGAAATTACCAGCCTGGCTAATTTTTTGTAATTTTGAAGAGGCAGGGTCTCTCTATGTTGCCTAGGCTGGTCTCTAACTCCTGGTCTCAAGCAATCTTCCTGCCTTGGCTTCCCAAAGCACTAGGATTATAAGCGTGAAGCACTGTGCCCAGCTCTTTGAAACTTTCTTGCTTTTCTTTTTTTGAGTCAGTGTCTCACTCTGTCGCTCAGGTTAGAGTGCAGTGGCATGCTTGGGGCCACCACAGCCCCGACCTGGTGGCCTCAGGTGATGCTTCAGACTCAGCCTTCCAAGTAGCTAGAACCACAGGCGTGCACCACCATGTTTGGCTAATTTTTTTTTAAATTGTAGAGACAAAGTCTTGGCAAGTTGCTCAGGCTGGTCTCAAACTCCTGGGCTCAGGCAATCCTCTCGCTTCCGCCTCCCGAAGTGCTAGGATTACAGACATGAGTCATCACGCCCAGCTCTCTTTGAAACTTTCTAACCAGAAACCAAATGGCTTAAAAATGGCTCTGGCCTTCTAACAATGAGCTGAAATATGTCCACCATATCAAACCTCCCAGCCATACCCCGCCCTCAAGTAATCAAACATTACAGACACAAGGAAGGGATCTGTATATCCCCCGATTCCAGATCCCCTCTTTCTACCTCCCTCCAGGTGCCCCTCTTCAGGTTATCACCTTCTAGGATCTGTTTTTTTCTCATTCCCATGCATTTGTACTTTCATTACACTATCATGTATTTACAAACAATTCCTCACACTTTTGCATGCTGTCAAACGTCATATGAGGCTGGGCGTGGTGGCTCATGTCTGTAGTCCTAGCACTTTGGAAGGCTAAGACGGGTGGACTGCTTGAGCCCAGGAGTTCAGAACCAGCTAGGCAACATAGCAAGACCTCATCTCTTCAAAAAATTAGCCAGGCGTGGTGGCGCATGCCTGTAGTCCCAGCTACTCGGGATGCTGACGCAGAAGGATCGCCTAAGCCCAGGAGGTCGAGGCTGCAGTGAGCCATGGTCATGCCACACTGCCCTCCAGCCTGGGCAATAGAGTGGGACCCTGACTCAAAAACAAACAAAATCATTTGAATAGGGAGTCTTCTGCCACTGGCTTAGGCCACTCAATGTGATGTGCTTAACCCATGCGGATGTGTCTGGCTCTACTCATTCTATCTTAACTCCTGCGTGGTATTTACTGTATAAAGAAACCACAGTTGATTGACCCCCTCTCTTGTAGATGAAGGTTGACTTCCACTTTTCTTGGTGATTACAAACAACGCTGTGATGTACATTCTTGTACACATCCCCTTGCGTACACGCGAGACTGTAAATGAGTATTGTCCAAGAGAAAGGGCATGTGAACCACATACACAATGTCAGTTACCAGGAGCCATATTAAACAGAGTGAAAAGACACAGACAAAATGAAATTGCATCATGTATTTTATTTAACCCAATATCTTCTGTAGATGGTCATTTCGCCATGTAATCAACATAGAAAAACTACCCATGAGATTTTGCATTCTTTTTCTTGGGACTGAGTCTTTGAAATCTGGTGTGTAGTTTACATATGGAGTGTATTACAGTTTTATTTCTAGATTTTCACCGGAAACACTTGATCTGAATGTAGATTTCACGTAATCTACAGGTGAAAAGTAGGTTTACAGACCCAGGTTTTTCTAAACACACTTAAGATCTTTCCACAACCATAAAAGAAATAAAATAAAATAAAAGTTTGGACATAGTGGCGCATGTCTGTAGTTCCAGCTACTTGGGAAGCAGAGGCAGAAAGATTCTGAGCCCAAGAGGTTGAGGCTAAGTGAACTGTGATCGTGCCAGCTGCACTCCAGCCTGGGCAACATAGCAAGTCCTCGCTTCTATAAACAAACAAACAAACTAATAATAATAAAATAAATTAGCTGGGCATGATGGCGTGCACCCTTAGTCCCAGATGCTCAGGAGGCTGAGGCAGGAGGATTGCTTGAGCCCAGGAGTTCGAGGCTGCAGTGAGTTAGGATCATACCACTGCACTGCAGCCTGGGCATCAGAGCGAGACGCTGCCTCAAAAAAATTTTTTAAATAACAAAATAAAATAAAATTCCTTGTGCTATCCAAATTTCTTTTCTTTTTTTTTTTTTTGAGTTGGAGTCTCACTCTGTCAACCAG